GCTAGCTATATCTTTATGACTTTAGGGATTTCTGGGGTTTTTTGTTTTGTTTGGGTTGTGGGTTTTTTTAAAGCTTTGAATCCCTCATAGCATTCACAACAAATTCAGCTTGATTTTAACGCTTCTGCAGTGACTACTGCAAAGCTTCTTAACTTTTACACTATAATGCAGTCAATGTATTTATAGTTCTTGAAAATGTCACATGGCAATGTTATGCCAGGGACAGCACATCTCAGAGACTCCTTAAGATGTCTGCATTGTTGTGTTCTATTTGTAGAGGCATTTTTGTCAGCGGCAATGAAGAAACAGAGCTGCTGCTGCAGCTCTTTCAATAACATTCAAGCTTATAGTTGACCCGAGGGGCTCACATTATGACATCCATATTTAATTTAACAATAAATCATATTTTCATGAACTACAGTATTGCATTATAACCTCACTGTTTTATGTGCATGGGAATGCAGCAAAAGCAGGCTTATACGTATCTACAACACAGAGTAAATGGTTAGTTCATGAGAGCAAGGTCAAAGTGTGCAGCGATGACAATATATAAAAGGTTTTATAACAAATCTTAGAAGTCTGAGGGAAAAAAGGACAAAAAAAGCTGTCCAGAAGGGACTGCATTTAACTTAAGGTGCATTTTTTTAAATCCTCTTAACTGCACCACCTTGCCTACTGTCAGTTTTAGTTCTGCTTTGCACTTCCCATTGCAGTCAGCATTCTCTGTATCTCATTTTCTCTTCTGCTTCATTCAAGCATATTTAAGGAGAAAATTAACACCATCTGAATCTTAAGCTTTACCCATGCCTTTCTCCTCGCAATAATTTCTCCTATTTGCCCTGCATTTTTTACTGTTGACCTGCTAGCTGACTCCAAATTAAATGTTCATATGTTTTCTATTTACTTCCAAATCTAGTCCTGCTTGTTCACATTTATTCTTGCTCATCTCCCTCTTATTTGCCTCTGCCTGTATCACATCACATCATCCTCAACTTCTTTACTTTCTATTCCTGCTAACTTCAACTCTCTTTCCAGTGCCTACTTCTTGCAGCCCTCTGCAACTTAAAATTCATTTAATTAATTTTTTCCTCCCCCTCAGCATTATTAATAATCTTCTACCATCCAGATTACGGAATAACTTCATTGCTCTTCTCAATCAGCTGTCTTGGGCAATAGTTTACCCACTATTTGCACTGCTCTCCTCCATAGACTTTATGAAACTCTATTACCTCTTTTAGAAGGTTCCACTTTTCAAAATTAAGTAGTTTCAATTACCTTTTTATTGGCAGCCTTCATCTTTGGTCTAGATGTCATCCTTAACATATATTACATAAATTAAGGAAGAGCAACTGTAGTAAAAAGCATTTCACAACTCTGATCCAAGTTTTCTTTTTACCTCTCATTCAGCTTTCTGTTTGTCATCTCGTCATGCATTGTATCTAAATTAGATTTTCAGTTCCTTGGGGTAAGAAGACATCATTTTCATTTATCTGTAAAGCACCATGCATGCTTATGGCTCTGTAGAGATGCTAAATATGTATATCCACATTTATTAAAATATTGATGCTTTTATCTATTCATATAGTGCAGAAGTAACATGGCAGCAGTTGTACCCTTTTAGAAACTATTTGCCATCTATAATAGCTATAATGTGATATATTTATAGTAGCTTCATGCTGTTCACTCTCCATTTCCTAGTTCATATTTACATTGCTCTTTCTGGTCTTATTAACTAACACTGCCCAGAAAATAAAAATCTCAATTTTATCTGACAGCATCAGAATATTTTTCTAAAAATAAACCATAGGGGTAACATACAGTGGTTTTACTACTTATCCATACTGCATGATCACAGTCTTGGTGGGTGAAAGTTGCTGTACCAGCCCAGTACTCCTGCCCTCCAAAATCTTGTAATTTAAATTGTCCTGATGATAGTAAAAATTTTAGGAATTTTGGACACCAGCATTCTTGCAACCTAGCTCGAGAGCCATTGAAGTATCAGATTTTCAGAGTACTAGAGCATAGCTCTTTCTAAAACACAAGGTCTTGAAAAGGGAAGCTCATTATTTGGAAAAATTTGGCAGATAAAATTAACATAATTAGTGCAAGCATGTATTCTAAAAGCTAGGAGGGTTTTTAATGCAAAAAGGTAAAATGAGGATACTATCAATCCAGTCATACTAAAATATTTCTATTAACAAGTACAGTAACAGGCTGTAGATATACCCTCCTTTGTAGTCAAGCATATTTATTTCTTGCTTAGACAAAAAAGTAAGTAGGCATGCTCAAATCCCACAGCAGAATCCACACAGGCTCCTGTCAGGACCCAGAGCTCATTGCATGAATGAGCCTGTACTAATCATTTCAAAAGTTAGCTCAAAAGATAAGGAATTATTGTAGAGTAGATACTGTTTGCAGAGCAATTAAACTGTTCTGCTTCACAAAACACTTAATAAATGGTTAAGCATTTAAGCACTGAATAAAGCAAACATCTTTGAATATCCTCCTTTGCAGGATATCTGAGCTGAAAACTTGAAAAGGGTTGCTCATTTGTGGGTCAATACATACGGAGTGGTCTTAACGAACTATTTACTCAGAGCAGCAAGAGAGAAGTTACATGGGGATAATGTTACTGGCATTTCTTCATAGAGTGTCTTACAGCTGATGGATTTAATATTTATATTATCTTTGCATACAGCGACCTATTTCAACCAGTGTTTCACCACACTGGAGGGAAGGGATGCCATCCCGAGGGACCTTGACAGGCTTGAGAGGTGGGCCTGTGTGAACCTCGTGAAGTTCAACAAGGCCAAGTGCAAAGTCCTGCACGTGGGTCAGGGCAATCCCAAACACAACTACAGGCTGGGCAGAGAATGGATTGAGAGCAGCCCTGAGGAGAAGGACTTGAGGGTGTTGGTTGATGAGAAGCTCAACATGACCCAGCAATATACTGTGTTCAGCTCTGGGGGCCCCAGCATAAGAAGTACATGGACCCGTTGGAGCAAGTCCAGTGGAGGGCCACAAAGATGATCAGAGGGCTGGAGCTCTTCCTCTGTGAAGACAGGCTGAGAGAGTTGGGGTTGTTCAGCCTGGAGAAAGGAAGGCTCCAGGGAGATCTAACTGCAGCCTTCCAGTACCTGAAGGGGACTACAGGAAAGCTGGAGAGGGACTGTTTACAGTAGTAATAGGACAAGGGGAAGTGGCCTTAAGCTGAAGGAGGATAGATTTAGGTGAGATATTAGGAAGAAATTCTTCATAATAATGAGGGTGGTGAGGCACTGGAACAGGTTGCCCAGAGAGGTTGTGGATCCTCCTCCCCGGAAATGTTCAAGGCCAGGTTGGATGGAGCTGTCTATGAGCAACCTGGTCTAAGAGGGTGTCCCTGCCCATGGCAGAGGGGTTGGAAGTAGATGAGCTTTAAGGTCCCTTCCAACCCAAACCATTCTGTGATTCTATGATTCTATGCTTTTTACTGGATAAAATGATAAATGTCAATCCAACTTAATGCCAAACTGCATATATAACTAAACCTGTGTAAGGCTGTATTAATTACAGTCAGATCACATACATGTTTAAAAGCTTTGTTGGACTGAACAAATGGCAAAGGTTCAGTTTACCCAGCTTTTGATGTCTCCCATATAGGCAATTATCTCAGAGTCCCTTTCATTTCCTTACTATGCGTGAAAAGAACTGTGTCAGTCAATGCACTAAGGTGCATTTACTCCAGGATAAGCCATTTTACATTGTAAAACAACTTGATTTGGTAAATACCATTTCATCAAACAGTAAGAATCAAATGTTTATTCATTTCTTCATATCTTCAGAGAAAGTCAAAACCAGATATCCTGTCAATAACCTCATAGGTAAACAAAACTCCTTGACAAAACTGCTGTCCGCTGCTAACTATTACTCTCCAGACATGGCTTGGAGCCGTATATGCAACAGCCCAGTAAGTGCTCTCCAAAGGCAGCTAGAAGATGGTCTGCCTGCTTCAGATAGAAGCAGGCCCTACCACTTGGTTTCAGTGCCAGAAAATGGTACTTTGCATCCTCTACTTAGTTGAAGAAAAAAAGGTTATTTGGCATGGATGACAAATATAAATTGCAACTTTAAATGAAAAGGAAAAGGTAGCTTTTAAATGAACATTTCAATGAAAGTAATGATAAAATAAAGTATATCAACATAGCAAAAATTAAAAAGAAGCATGAAGATGGAAGAATGGCTATAAAAAAATTAATAAACTATGATATGACATTCATGATTGTGATCACTTTGGACAAATATAACAGGGGGACTAGTTACATAAATGAACTGGCATTTTAAAATACAGTCCATTTGAGATATAGCGAGAAGATCTGCTCCCTGTAAACTACCTCAGAGAATAGTACCAACAGAAGGAAGGTAGGGAAGGAATTTCCAGAAGATTGGAAATTGGACCAACTTTGTTTCTATCAAAACTAATGGTAAAGCACCTTCTAAAAAAAAAGAGCTTCACCAGTGCTGAACACTTTTGGCCATCCTGACATAAAGGCAGAGGCTGAGCTATAATGACTTAACGGCCCTGTACAGGAATGAATTATTACACAGACCTCATTGTGTATGGGAGGCTTTATTCTGTACGGATATTATCAGACGTAATGGTCAGCTTCAGGTGCACTCAATTTTACATCCTTCACAATGAGAAGTATGAATGATGAGCACTTTTGAAGATCAATGTAGTTGCTTTGCTCAACAAAGAACTATGGCTCTACAGAACTGAGTTTAGAAATAATGTATGTATGGAACACCTTTTAATTTGTTTCCACCCCAAGACAGAGGAGCAGGATTAGAACTACTTGCTTTCGTTTCAGCTAAACAGGTTTTTTTCTAATCACATTGCTTTAGTCTGATTTACAGGAGTTTTAGCTTCAAGAATCATTGGTCATTGCTGAATGCAAATAAGCACCAAGGAAAATTATATTAAGTTTGCACAATTGATCTTTCATCATTTTAAATGGTACCTTTTAAAATTTCCTGTAAAATCAGCCTGAAATACTCCCGTCGTTGACTGTCATCAAGTAGACCAGGGTTGCTTTAGGAAAACCCATTCTCAGTGATGTAAATTATAGGGTTATTATATGTATCCTAGAACAAGAGAGCAGAAGTTTTATTCAGAACAGATGTAAGAAAGCCCATAAAATCAGTTGCATTACCCTCTATCTTTTCTAAGCTACAAACTAAAACTAGTTTTCATCAAATTGTACTGACCCTATTAACTTAATTTTCCATGAGCTGACCTTTTATGACTAACAATGGAAAAGCAAAACTGTGCAAATATCCATGAAGACAGTGAAATGACTTATTTTAATGAGAAGACTAAAATATCCCTCCTGCATTAGCATCTGCTTATTGTCACTGCTCCTTAACCCCTTGGTACTGGCAGTCACCACATGTCCCATTGCCAGGAGTAGATGCATGCCAGGAAAGCCTTACTGCTGGCATCAGAAAGATCATTTCTGGAGTTCAAAAGATGATATAACACTGGTGTGTCATTTCAAACTGTAAAATAGCTATCATCAAGTACAAAGGCAATAGGAAAACACTAAGGCTTCTACTCTTTATAGCCAGCATGAAAAATTAAATTAAGAATCCCAAGGTGACTTGTTTATTTATATCTTGTACATCTTATGCCATCCAGATGGGCTCCTCAAAAAAAAAACAAATCACCAGTACTACTCATTGGATCCTCAGATACCCTCATTGGCCAGCTAATAGTGGTAAAATGGTCCTGTGAGCATTAGGTCATTCCTTGATATAACACAGAAGTCAGTGTAAACCCCATGCTACTACAGCCAGCCATAACCTCCCAGTTGCAACAGGCTAAGAAGGATGCATTATTTCCTCAGTTTCACAGTCCATTGAAACACTTAGCCTCTTGTCTGCATTTTCCTGGTCTTAAGTTTAACAGTTCAGGGCAAAGAAGTCAGCAGTACCCATGATCGTCATTTTTTCCTCTTCAGTAAATTCCAGAAGCCTTGATGATATGTAACCCTGCTTCGAATGCATTGCAGAAATCCAGGACTTCATGATAGCTGGATATTTGTCATCAGTAAATACTGTCCTGACAAACCCATCTAAGGTAAAGGACAGGTACCCTTTAATTGCTTTTTACAACAAATTGTAATTCTGCTACAGAATTCATAAAGGTTCTCCCAATCTGATTTCAGACCTATAAACAACAGTCCGCATTGTTTTCTCCAAATATCTTACTGCAACTGTGTCAGGCTTTAGCATGAGCTTTTATCACATTATAAGCTGTCTTGCAAGCTCTGGTACCAATGCTGGGGCTGTATCTTTTTCACAACCACCTATACAAACAACACAAGGCTTATTAATAGTGATCACTCAGTCTCCAAATGTTCTGAGGCAATACTTTGCATGAATATCAAAGGTCTCACTGATCTTTTCAGATCCCCAGCCACCTTCATCTTCTAAGGATTGAGGTAAGCCAAAATGATACAGGGAGCAGAATGCCATTTCCCAGGTTATTAATGATTTTGCTGTAATAATTGACTCCTAAAAATATTAAAAGAAACAAAAAAGGGTTAACTTAATAACTTTAATACATTTTAACACATGAAGAAACCTCACTGCACATTTTCTCTGATGAAAGATGCAAATATTTCCTCTCAACTGCATGCTGACTACTGTTACAAGACCCCAGACTTGGCAAAAATGCTCAGCACACAAAATCTTCCAACCAGGCACATAAAATGAAATGAGGATGCAAATTTTCAAAATAGATCAGTGGACAGCAGCTCCCCGGGAGAAACATAATTCTGATGGGTGCTGGTCACATGAAAATATAATCCTTTCATTTAAATGCCTGAATGGCAGCCTGGCTGCATGTACAAGACGAAAGCGTGTTGGAAAAATCCTGACACTTGAGAGCCCGACAGGTAGATTTGTTCCAATGAAAGCATTGCTCTCCTTGAGAACTGTTTCTTTTTAAAAGTTTAGTGCCACACTCAGCAAGGTACCTAAGCTGTTTCCCTTAGACTGTTCCATTCTCCATCACTGTCCAGCATCAAGACAAAGAAGATACTGACAATGCATTCAATATGCAAATTCAATATTTCGCAATGGTGTGAATTCAATGGTCCCCTCATTAGATCTATATAACGTTTAAGGCTTTACATTGGGCTCTAGTAGGTTTTAGATGGAGTTTAGGGCACTGGTTTCTTTAGCCACCAACTCGGAAAGGCTTGGCAATAGTTTATCCAAGAAACCAACTCTCTTTCTTTTACACTGCCACTGCTGCAGACTGCTCAGTCCCTCTAGCTGCAAGAAGGAATTAGCTCACCTCTCTAAAAGCTCATGACTTTCAACCTTTCTGTCCCCCCTTGATAAGACAGAGGTCAACTTTAATTTCCTGGATGTGTTGTTAAAGCTGGCCAGTACTGGGGATGTATTTCTAGAGGCTTAAAAGGAATTCAACTTCTGTTCAGATTTAGCAGTGGCTGACATGAATATGTTTCGTAAAGGACTATTTTTATGCTGCTGAGAGGTCACTGTAAGTTTAAATATTAGGATACCTTAAGCTCTCATATAGGCATTTTTAATTTTGTTTACATCCAAACACAACTACATTCCTTTAAAGCCTTCTGAAAACACTTGATATTGCAAAACACATCATAAGCTCTGGTTCAAAGAATATCAATTAGCTTGCTCTTTTACTTGAACTATCTGGTTTACTGCAGTAATTGGAAAAGGCCAACAGTGGTCTTGAATTATTATTTGTTAAGCTAAGAGGTTCCAGCCAGGAATAAATCTCCATCGTGCTGGTGGAATGTAGAAATCAGCCAGCCTTTGCTTCAGAGACTTGGGCTAAATATACCAAAGTGTTTAAGAACCTTAAAAACCTAAAATTCATAAAAAATTTGTGGGTCTCAGACTACCACATATCCTAATAAGACATAAGTGCTCATGAAATGTCTAGCTGTATTGAAATCCAGAACTGAGAAAGGTCTGAAGTTGAAAACACAGCAGAATGGAGGAGGAGGAAGACAAAGAAGTTGCAAAGGTTAACAACATGTATGCTTAGGAGGTTATGTATGGTTTAGATTATTATTCTTAACAGTTTCTGAACCAGAGATTTTGTTTAATCCAAAACAGGAAACTTGTTCATTAGTAAATATGTCTGTACTATATTGTACTATATACTCCCTGGTATTTTCAGGTTCAGCTTACTGTGTGTTGGTATTTAAAAATGCCAACACAGAACCTCATGCTACTTTCTTCTGAAGAGAATAGTATTAGACTTCAAATTATCCTAACTTCAAATGACTGATCATAAGGAGTTCCATCAAATGGCTTTTTTAAGACAACATTTACTGCAGCAATCAATTATGAACCCCAGATTTAGACAGTGACTTCTTCTAAACAAACAGGTGCATACACATCCTGTAGCACAGCAAGACTCAATAAGTTTGTTTACAAAGTAATTCACAATAAATCTCACAGATAGTTTGCTTTTCCTTCCAAATGCAACACCAGAAAAACACATTAAATTCTGAGGAGATACGTGCCTGTACCTGAGAATGCACCCTTGTAAAAGAGGAAGGAATATACCAGAATTTTAAATTTTGAAAAGAAAATTCTTGCAATTTGCAAGAGCATTTAGGAGCAAATAGAATTCCTTACTGTTACTCTTGAACAGGGACCTATTTGACTTCAGTGGGACTGGAGATGCCTTAACTGTTTGCTGATGGGACTGCAAGGTTTACCACATAAGCTTAAACTGGGAAAAAAGAAATACTTTGCTCATACAGGATCCTGTTCTACCATATTGAGAGTAATGCTTGCCTAGAAGACACTAGCATTTCTCATTCTAGTTTTCAGATTATAAATTACTTTGTACAATTTATATCATTTAAGTGCAATCAGCTATCATTCATTTTTTACATCTCGATTAAACACCAATATTGGAAAAGATTTATGCTTTGTGTTAGGAAATTAAGAGAAATAGAACTGCATTCCTGAAAAATGGAAATGTCAAGTCAAATTTCCAGACCGTCTCATACCTTCCAGAGTAGCCTGATTTACTTTCTATGGCTGTATCTGTGGGTCAGCTAGAAGCAGAAATACAGAAGAAAATGTTCTTCTGAGAAAGTGTGTATATTAGAGCTTTGTGGAGACACGCCAAAATTTTGGGATTATAGACATTAAGGAGCATTTTGTCACTGGAAAGTGAAGGATTGTTCTTTTCTCCTTTCTTGTCATCTTCTCTCCCCATTCTGATTCCCGGCCTTCATGCCGAAGAGAGGCATAACTTCAAACTCTCCCAGACTCAATATCCCTACGTCTGCTACTTCTGTCTCCCTCCACACTGACACTTGGTGTTTAGCAGCTAACTTGTTCTGCTCAGGGCACCTTTTGGGGTAAAAATAAGTGTAGAAAAATACTTTAAAATCAAATTTTGTATAAGTTTTAACCTAAAACGTGACACGTCTTAGGAACAATACACCTACAATATCGCTGGTTTAAAAGTCCCTACCCCCACTGAGTTAGAAACAGAACGGTTTTAAAGGTTTTCAAATGTCCTACGTCTTAGGTGTGAAATTGGTAGTGAATCAGTTGGTGTGAATGATTTTATATGAAAGGACATTGCTCTAAGCTTTCTAATTCTTCACATGCTCTTTCTAAAAATGTTTATATAGAAGATGATGGCCTTTCCATGCTATGCAGTTACAATTGCTTCAACAGATCACTGCACAAGAGAAGTGAACTCCTGCCTAATGAAAGCTGGCCTACTTGGAGTTCCTCCAATGCCCTTTCGCTAAATGTAAAGTTCATAATATTAATCAGGCAACTGCTTATACTGGGGATCAAGCGAACATTTTCTGAAATTACAGCTGAGTTTTGTCAAAATGTTAGCTTTCCTTACCAAGTGCATTCAGAATGTCTGCTTGCTATCTCCCACTCTGACATCTAAGTAGCAGAGCCCGTTCAGAAGGCAGCTCTGTGGGGCTGTACAGCGCCTGCAGCCCCAGCTGAAGGAGTATCAGTATAAGAGAGAAACCACAAGGACTCAGCCAAATTTAAATTCAACACACCGCAAAAAGCATTCCTAGGGAAGGACAAACTGTGCCAGTGAAAGTGGGCCGCATATTGTAAATTTTGGTGGCAAAGAAAAGGCTTCCATTCAAGCCTCTCCAGGATGCTGGCATGTTTTTTGCAGTCATGCTCTGCAGGGGAAAATGGCTGGTTGGTCTGTTTACAGTAGATTCACCAGCCCCCCCCCTTTCCGAATTCTTGAAACAAAGGCTCCTCCACTCTCTGGTGAAAACTGTAATCTGCAGGATGCAGAGGACAGGCTGCTGCCTATTGAACAGCCAAACTCTACATGACCAAAATTCTGCAGAAAAATATTGCTTCTGCTGGTATCTTCCTAGTACAGATCAGGATAACCTGAAGAGTTTTCTATGACATTCTTTCCCTTTGTAGCCTTCCACCTTTGCAGTCTTCAAACCAGGGGAAGAAAAGAATTGCCAAGGCAAACACTGCCCCAGAAGTGTAAAGATATATATCTTCTTGGTAGAACTGAGATTCAGAAGAGTAGGAGGCAGAATTGAGATTCAGAGATTCATCCAAATCTGCTTTGCTTTTTTCTCCTTGGACCATTATCCTCCTAGCGTACAAGACACCTCGGCCAACTACTTTAATTCTCCCATCCTTTCTGGTTCAGCTTCACTCGTTTTTATCCTTCACAATTCTCTTTATTTCTTCTTTCTTCCATTCCCTACTTTCTGCAGGCAAACCTGCTGTTTCCTATCTTTTCCTACTAAGTCACCTTCATCTTCCCCCCAGTCCATACCAATGGAATTAAATCAGCAGTGCAACAAATGTTATATCTAGCAATCTGACCAGCTTGTTTATGTGCTGTTTCCCATTTCACTTTTACATCGTCTGCTGAGACTGTGAAAACTCTTCAGAGCAGGGACCATCTTGCGTTTGTCAGAGACCCAAGCACAATTCCCATCTGAGTCTGAAGAATCCCCTTTAATTTGCTAAAGAAAATATCTCGGAAAAGTACGTCCCTCCGAGTGCAAAATAGTCGATGTGAAGTTCAGTACATCAGAGTATACTGATAAACTATCTAAATGCATTTGCCAAATAAGATACTTGTCTATTGTAAGCCATCCAAAAATATCCTCATGGCTAGGATCCCTGTAAGTATAAACATTCTGATGAAGCAAAATGATTTAGAGTTACAATTAAAAAAACTGGAGTAAGCAAAAAGATACATAGGAAACATAATACTAATCCTATCCCAAAAGATTGTGCTATCCAAGGGGATCTAGAATATTAATTAGTAAGTTGTTGCAAACCTATAAAAAATCATCCCATAATTACTCTGAAAAAAAGTTGCAATTTCAAAGCTACACTGCAGAATAGCATACTGGATTAATTATGCCAGACTGCAGCAATAACCTTGAATTAAAGCTGCAACCTTCTATTTTTAAGAAACAATTGCCTTTCTGGTTGATGAAACCTGTCGTCCCATCAGGTAACAGACGTGACCAGGAAAGAGAAAAGCGATAATGAGTCAATCCAAGCTGTTTGATACATTTCAAATCTTCCTCCCACAGAGTGTAGCTGCCACAAGCTACATCACCAGTCTGGTTCTTGAAAACTCGATCTCCTCCCTGATGGGTGAATGTGTCCCAGACATTAGGGCCCTTTCCATCTGCATTCCAGCCTTCTGCTTGAAAAACAAAACTCAGTCGTTACACTTTTGACATCAAAAGACATATGTTGAATGTAAATTTTTATCACAAAGTAGGCACAAACCCCTCAGAATCCTATGAGCAAATCGAATAGTATTCCCTCCCGCTTCCTCATATCATTTAAAGTAACTAGGAACTTTTAAGCATTAGTATATATTTGCATTAGGTTTTGCATATATTCATATTTTTGCTTGCTGCTAATTATTTGAAAATCCTGTTTCAAAAAAAAAAACAACAAAGAGCATTCAGAGTTCTGACACTCTTCATACTTCCTTAGCCAGAAATCAGATGTTTGCAACTCTTGAGATATTACAGGTTTTCACAAAGGGCATTTTCTAATGCAACTTCCATCCATAAATGTAAAAGATCAGTCCATATCAAAGAAAGCCTTCAGGGTATGAGAACTACATCCAACAAATAGGCACTTATGCCTTTCTGGATGTCCTTTGAAAATCCTGACAGTCTGTTAAAAAGAAAGGAATGCCATTATGAGCCATGGCCTTAGGCATATACAAGCTGAATTAATAACACAGCTCTGCAAAATTTCTGCTTTTTTGCTTAGCCAAACGTTCACAGAAATGAATTTTGAATGCTCGGAATCCCTGCACCATTTTCTTCACTGTCATAATTCTGGGAAATTTCTCTGAAATTCCGAAACAGAGATGGACAGATTACCTTTAAAATATTCAAAATTTAGCTGTTGTTTGAGAATACACAGTATTAACGTCACAGAGTATTTAAACCAAATAAATGCACCTTTCTTCATGACAAGCTTCTTTGTCTTTCCAGAGCAATGCTGTAGCTGAGGCAAACATTTCATTTTTAATGCAGAGCGCTCTGTAAACTTACCCCCTGCAAAGTGTGATTTTATCATAAAATTCCAAATAACCCCAAAATGGCCAACCTCATTTACCAGCAAGATTTTTCGGAGCCCCAGTGAATGCACTGTTCCAGGGTTACTCTTTAAAAACTAAAATGACTTTGCGTGTTAAAATCATGTATAAATTAAATATCAGTTAGGTTGTAAGATTAATAACTATATAATAGCTACATATCAATCCTCAATAAAAGTGTTTTAATAATCAATTAGTATCATAGAAATTAGAGATGGAGGAGAACTATTAGGAGGTCATTGAGTCCATCCCCTGCCAACGCAAGATTGCTCCCTTAAGTATATTCAGTACTTAATACACATCTGTCTTATTAAATCTAAGTTTAATGCAAGGTTAAGCATATTGAAGACACTTAATTTAAAGCATTACTAAAATTTGTAATATCACTTCTATAACTTAGCTTTCCAAAGATCATTGTCACATTTTATGTTCTTTACAGAATTTTATTGCAGCACACGAACACCTATACATCTACATTTGGTTGGTCGGTAAATTAAACTCTTACATGGGACAACCTTCAAAGTAGGTCAAATTTCAGTTTGAGTTTCTCTTAATCTCAGATTTTATCACAGACTTCGTGCTCTGCCTGTACGCTCCTCGGAAAAATACAGTACTAGAAGTTTTCTATATCCTGCTTCTAATTTCAAATATGCCTGTCAGTCATTTTAGAAAAGTGCAGGAAATACCAAAGAACAGTGATTCTTTGGCAGTACCTAGAATTTAGAAGCCTTTAAGAGCAGGCTTCCTGCACCACCTCAATATGATATAACTCCTTTTTCACTACGGTGGGAGTGAAGGGAAGCCAAAAAGCTGCCATAACGGGCAGCTAACACACCTCCATTTAAGGATCAGCAGCTAGCGCAGATACTGAACGATTTCTTTTTTGTCTGCCTTCCCCCAGCAAAGGAGGCGGGAGGGAGGGGGAGAAGCATTTGATTTTCAGCAGAGTATGACAGTACTACTCCAGTGGTCATTAGCCACTACAAAGCCCTGACTGGGGCTGTGGCAAACAGACCCACTTTCAAGCATTCCTCATGCTGGTCAAAGAGCCCTTCTGTACAGCGCGGAGTATCATCTGGGCTAGCTAAATAAAGTCTAGGAAGCAATCTAGCCGAGGCAACAGAGAGCTCCACATACACTGACGTACCCTGCTGAGCCACAATTAGTCTGCACAGAGCTCTGCTCCGCTTCACTGAACTGAGCTTGCAGCTCTAAGCTTGCTCAGAAGCCTCCACGCTGCACAGCAGTCCACGGCGTAGACGTATCCTGGGTTTTAGCGAGCTTCAGGGCCAGGAAAGAACGGGGATGAGGAACTGATTTTACATTTCAAACACATTGGTAAGACAGCTACCAAATCATCACATAACGTGTCATCAAATGATTAATATAAATTATCATGAAACGTGACACATGTTCCCCATTCTCTGCAGTTATTACAATGGAATAAGATAGAATTTCTTCCATTTAAGTGAAGCTAGAGAAGCGGGAATATTACTGATCAGAGTATTTAAGTTTCCATGTACTTTTCCAAGTTAGCTTTTCTTCTAATTCAGCTGTGCTTTCACCTTTCAGAATGAAATTTTTTTTTGGCCTGGTCTCTGCCCAAAAGGTGAAATTTTGTTTGAATTAATGTAGTTCAACTATCTATCTGGCATATGAAAGAAGTGAAGAAAACCACTTTTACCATTACAAGAATTTTTTGCAACTTTTCCCTCTCTCTCTCTCTCTGGGGAAAAAAAAAAAAAAAAAATCAAGCAGAGTTGAAATTTAGCATAGAAATGGCCCTCAGTAAGAAGAAGTGCTTTTGAGTGTTCTGGTGCAAATTGATTTTGATTTGACTGAGTCATGAACCTTTGAAATCTGCACTTTGAGCATGCAGAGTACAATTGGTATGATTTTTTAGCACTTTGAAATATACAGAGTGGAGAAGGTTGTGCTGTGCATAAATACATAGCTGACAGTAAAAAATAAAGTAGCCTGTCAGCCCTTGCCTCATCCACTGTGTATCTTGTGGTATGTGCAGCAACTGAGTTTGGACTCTACAAGAACTATTGCTTCAATCATGCTGCCTCTAAGTCGGAAGCTGCACAGCTTCCAAAGCTTTCAGGAGGAGGAATTCCCTGTTGAGTTTCTTACTTCTGTGGGAAAAGGGTCATTTGAGTAGTGTCTAGACCACATTATAGATTTTTTTTTTTTTTTAACGTTTCTCCCACTCAGAAGCCTTAGGAAAGCTCATTAAAAATACATTAAGAGAACATTAAAGTTGCCCATCTAGCCACTCAGAAGGCAGGAAATTATAATGTCATTCTATATGCACACACAATTCACATTTTAAAAATTAGTTAGCAGAGCTATGCGCATTGCAGGACTCGAGTTAGAATCTGGCCCAGAATATTGATTCCCCGGGAACAGCGAGCTGTTCAGTCTGTTAGGTGAAGCTAACTGAGCTCGTTAAAAGGTACCAAGCATGGGCAAGTACTCTCGCTTTCAGCAATAACCAAGAACTAAAGGCTACATCCTCAAAGACAATTTTAGATCTACAGCTCCCATTTAGGTACTGAAATCAATGGGAGCTAAGTGCCTGTATGCTGCAGGGTATAATATGAGAAAATCAGATCTATATGTATTTTAAAGGTCTCTAAACACACATTTATGAAGGGATAAAGGTAGGGGGGGTTATGGCTGTAGATGTCCCTGTCCCTTATGGGTTTGCATTCCCTACTCTGCCACAGATTTTCATATCACGCTGGGAAAATCACTTTGTCAGCACCTCCATTCAGTTGGGAACATGACACATGTCCCTGGGGGAGGGCCTCCATGAGTCCTCTCAGTTCACCGTTTTTCATACCCTTTGGAGATGAATTCTGAACTGAGGACCCTCTGTGAATACCAATGTCTGATGAGGTAGTTCTGCCATCCAGTTTTGGAGTAGTCGATAGTAATCTACTTAAATTAGCTCTAGAGAAAGGAAATACTCAAGCACTAGTTGGAAAATTACTTATTTCTGCTTCGCCCTCCCCGCCCCCCCAATATCTAGTGCAAAGTTCCTCCTCCATTGCCATTACCTAGCCGTATTTCCGAGATTTGAAACATCTTTGTCTTTTACCGACTTCTTACTGCACAGGCCAGAAGTGTTTAAACAGAACTGCTACATGAATTTGCATCAGATGTAGCATCTATGCAACAAGAAAAGATCAAACGCTGTCCTTCCTGGATCCAGACTTTTCATTCGCTTAAAACTTCCTTAACACTTTGGCAGCTAAAAATTGACACCTTCAATTTGATATGCCGCTGTAAGTGCACCCCAAGCAAATCCAACTGGAAAAGCAATATCCTCCGGCACCGGCTGCAGAGGACAGGCGAATACACAGCATTATGCGATGCTATGGAGATGTGGGCTTCATTTGCAGACAACAGTTCCTGGCTCAATCACTCTTCCACTTGTTACAAGCAGATTCTATACTGAAGACAAAAATAAACCCTGTGCAACTTCATACATGGAAGGGCAAGCCATGCACTTTGCATATCTCGGGATTAAAGCAGAGAGGTTCAGTCAGTCAGCTAACAGTGAAAGTGGAAAAGGCAGCAGTGGAAAAGCCCAGGGTGGTCACGGTAAAAGGGCTCCACCTAGTACCAAGCAATAGTACACAGAACAGATCCCTGCTCCCCTTCACTTCCCTCTCACCTCCTGCTCAAAGGACTTTGTGGACCCTCTACTCAACATAAATCCTTTAGCCACCAGGCAAAAAGTCATTTCCTCCCCTTTCAGTAAGCTTCAAAAACCAGCAGCACCTCTTCTTTTCTGGCATCAAATTTATATTTTCTCTCTCCCAACACCAAAAAAACTGGCCTGCGGTAGGTGAGAAAGGATGTTTTAGCCGTTATATGTTTAGCAGTGGAAACCAATGAGTAGAAGAGGAAGATTAGTATGGGAGTACAGACAGAACAGCTACCTTTCTCCTTCTTTAAAATCCCATGGATGCTCATTTTTTTCTAGAGCAGCAATGACAACCTTATGGCATGCGTGCCAGAATCAGCATCTGCAAAAGAGCCCTCAGGTCTCTTCCTCTACCTTCTGTCAATGCTGCTACTGCTCTCCTGTCAGCAGGCTGAGAAGGGAACAGCAGCAGGAGGACGAGTCAGGGGATGACTGTAACAAGTGGGATGGGCTGAAAGCAGTTTACTGTCCCTTCCCAGAAAACTGCAACCCCTGGCACACTAGATGGCACTACTGCAATTTTTTTTTTTTTTTTTTTTTGACTTAACAGAAGTTTTTTCCCCATTTATTATAATACTGTATTCACACAGCTTTTGCCCAAGGTCCATATCTGCACTTGTTGGACTGCTAAGCAATAGTGTATGATGACTACTATTTTTTCTTCTTCTTTACTCTTCTTGTACCTTTCTGATTTTGAAATCTTTCTGGGTGAGGACCTACTCCTGCAAAGCATTATACACATAAGTGATATTTTCTTTGACAACAAAAATAAGACAAAACTTACCATGCACAGAAAAGTCACTGATACAGTTAATGCACATACTTTTTGCCAGAAATACACCCAATGAAAGAGTCAACATCTTAGAAAAAAAATAATCCTTGGTAGAGATGCAGAGAAGCTGATTTAATTCCAAAGTGCACACTGCAGAATCAGACAGTGCAGATGCAATGCAAAATAAATCAGGCTTTCACAGCAGGCATGCATTTCCTCAAGTGTCTTTCAAAGGAAAGGTAAAAGCCCCTTGAATACAAAGGAACAAAGGGGGACGTGAGGCACAACATACCAACTTGTTCCCAAAACACACGGTCTAGGCAAACATACATATCCTTTACGTGTTTTATACAGATGACTAAAAAGTGATGGAATGAACTAGTTAATGTTCTCTGGTTGAAGCAGCCTCCTCAGGTTTTCATTTGCAAGAAGGTAAGCATTGGGCAGTTAACAGTAAAACTCATCAGGGACACCTTAAATCATGATTAATAGGTATTAATGAAGCAGAGTAATTATGCATATTTTTTACATCATTAAATGTTATTGGTAGGTACCTTTGAAAATGTAAGTGACATTAATCTTTTCCCAGAAAATCATACAATTCAATTTCACAAGATATATAATAAATATGTAACTCAATAATCGGGGGAGAGGGGCAGACAGGAGATTGTAGCAATAAAAACCCAATAAAAAGTTTTATAAAAATGCTTAACCATAAAAACAAGGCTAAAAAGTGTCACTGCTGATTCCCTAGCAGGAATCAACAGAGACAGAGATGGGTTTTAGGAGAGATTGAGTGGGAGGAAAATATTCCATAAGCAGTCTGGGGAAGAGTGAACAAAATTTGCCTCAGAGGTTAAGGCAGATTCACAGTAATGAGATAGCAGGCTATGTCAGATAAGTAGGCAGATACTGAAAGATGCAGAGCTTCAAAATTCAGAGAAGCTGAGTTTATAGCAGCTGATCTCAAACTCTTCTGGCAACTCAATTTCTAGATTTGTGACCCCACTTCTGGGTGTATTTCTGGCCTCGTGAACCCACTCCTTGTTGCAGTAGCGGGACCTGCAATTATATTCCCATTAGACCCACTGCATGTCATGGCCCTTGGGATGCACTCGCCTTCTTACTCTGATAATTTTCCCTAACTCTAACAAACAAACCTGACCCCAACCTGAATTTCAATATTTCACTGTCCCATTGTTTTGTTCAACACATATAAGTACAATACTGTAAGAGATCTCAGTTCTACCTAGAGGCACATTTTTTCCAGACTAGGTTTAGGGCTTTTACATTCACACTGACACAGACTACACATAACTAAATGAGCCAAGTATTCCTAGGAAAAAATCGAGCAGTTCTTGGATATCCAACTGTATTTGGATAAAGATATTTTTGGCAAGTCAATAAAGACCAAGAGTAATTGGCCCCGATGCTAAGGGTTGGCAACCTAACTTTATAAAATGCTAGGTATTATATTAAGGTGAAGGATGAACAGGCTTTGGTGTTGGGCCCTTAAGTCATGTGGGATTGATTATTATCAGAGGAATTGTATCTTGTCAAAATGAGTTTTTCCTGACTGAATCGATGTTTCCTAATGACATGTTATAAATATGTTTGATAGTATTTACTATGGAATTTAGAAATTAAACTTTGAAGGGACTGTGAAAATTAAAATCTCTTTCCTGAAATTTTACACTGTGCAGAAACAGAAGAAGGATATAGCTCCTTTGGAAGCAAGACTGTACGTCTCGGAAACAGCCAAAGATAGAAGTTCACATATTCTGTGAGTTGTCTTTGAAATTGCTACTCATAAATTTAGCTTCCCTCCCTGGCAACATAATGGAACAGCTATTGAGAAAACAAATTTACTAAAACACTTTGAAGTCTGCCAGACAAACTTGATTTTTTAATAGTAATACAAAATTAATGAATAGAGAGCAGAAGCTATACTGTCACATGCCTGAATTTTAGCAGTACACTGTTTTCTTCAGGATATTTTAGCACTGAGCTTCAGGTGTTCTCAATTAAGTTACGGAGACAGTTTCCACCTTACACTGTGGCTGCAATACAGGACTCCTAACTTTGATCCTCTAAATTGAGCCTTAATTAGAAGCCTCTGCTGGATTGTTGATTAGCCTTTCTTCTCCCATCTCCAATGTGTCAAAATTCTGTTCCCAAACTTAAATCAAATTGGAAATGAACTATCATGTTGACTGAAATGAAGGGTGATGACAAACAATGAAGGGTAATGATAAACAATAACTTTGAAGGGAGGCATTTAGTGCAGTACACAAAGATTAGTATTACTTCTGATCTCATTTAATAGCTTCAATAATGAGCTAGAAGAGGGAGTAAATGGTACATTAATGAAATCTGCAGATCTATTAAACTAGGAGGAGCTGAGCACACTGCTGAAAATGGAGAAATAATACAAGGGGTCATGGGAAGATTAGAAACACAGGCAGAATATTGCAATGAGATTCAGTTTAGAAAACAGAGGAATAATATTTAGGTAAAAAAATCAACAGATGGTAACAGGTAAAAATCTGGAGAGCTGTAGTACTGGAAGAGATTTAAAATTAAGAACATCAGGAAAACTAGGCAAGAATCTGCAACTGAGCAGCAGAGAAAAACAGTGAATTTTGGGCAAAACTATTAAAGAATAAGCAAAGAAGTAATGAGTCATCTTAGAGCAGCTCTACAACCTTCAGCTCTCTTCTGGATTTTGTCTGGGCACTGGGAAAACAGACTATCAGTCAGATGTTTAGAAATTTTGCAGCTATGGAATTTTTTCCAGGAAGAAAACTTAAAAGTAAGCTGTCCATTTAACAAACAAAGCGTTGTCCTTCATGAAGTGAATGACATAACAGTGAGCCACTGGCTAAAGAACCATAAAAGAGCATGAGACTGAAGAAATAAAATATTCTCCCACTGCTTCTGGTAATTGCATCATGCAGCTTGAATTTTTTCGTATTGCTGAGGAAACTGCCGATATAATGCCAGCTGCTACGAGCTTTCCAATACCAGATATATGTGCACAATATCTTGGAGAGCTAAAGCCAGTTGTGAGCAAGTTAATTCCAGTTGAGGAGCTCACACAAATTGATCTTTCTGGGAATAACTCTACACAAGCTATAGAGGAGAGCCAAACTAGTGTTACATCACTCCCTGTACAAGAGACAGTTTCAGCAATTCTGCGCAGCACAGCATTAGGATGTATAGTACATATGTAAAATGATATTCCATATTGGTCATCAGTCTTCAAAAGTCCTTGGTAGCTCTTGGCTGTTGAAGGCATCGTCCTTTATTGCTGAGTGCTCAGGAGTTTGTCACTGTCACTATGTTGTGACCCAACACTGAGTGTGCGGAGAGCAGGGCGTTGATCCACAGCTTTAAATTTGCACACTTCAGTAGAAAACCCGGCAAAAGCCCTTTCATGTAAAACCATGCTCTGTTCATTTATATCTCGGCGTGTTCTGCCGTTCCACGTTTCTGGATTGTTCACCTTCTAAGTGAACAAGCTAGAAAACAATGAGCCGTCACGCAAAAATGTCAGGATAAAAAAAGGAGGTTATATATATGAAAACCAACATAAAAAATACCATAAGCATAGACAGACTCCCTGGTCCCTTGTGAATGCAACTTTTTTGCTTGGACAGTGTCCCTTCACTGATGTTTCGGGGAGAGCTGCCTACGTTTTCCAGAAATTGAGTTTCAAGACATTTGTAGAGCTACCTTCTGGCAAACTTGCTTGATGTGGTTTTTCTGGGAAAATATCTGCTGTACCTTATCAGATTGGCTGCAACTGGCTAGAATGACACATCTGAATGATTTTAAACTAAACTCGTTAACATTT